TGCTCCATAGAGAGGGAGGCAACGACCCGTCTTTTAAGCTTGGCTTTGGAAAATAGCGGAATACCTTAGGTGGACCTGAAGGCATGAGTGGAATAGGATTTTGCCACAACTAGGTTTTCAATAGTAAAACAGGAGATTTGAACTCTACTATATTTTGATTGTGTGACTTCCTATCAGTTCTTGAGTAATAAATGCTTTCTTCAGAGAAAAGAACAAGCAGGATTTGTTTGTTTTTGCAGTATGGAAAGTCTATTTATACATAACTTGCATTGTTGTGGCTGAATGTGGTTTTCACTTGTGAGTTTCTCTAACCATTAGTGTTTCAACATAGAGCCTAGAATAACCTCTGTAACGGTGCTCCGTCCTGTGCATAGCATCTGCACCTTCTGAAAACTTGCACCAGCCAAGGCGAGACTTGATCCCGGGAAGTACGTGCAGGTCATTCCGTTGCCTCGATCACTTTCGTCTTGTTGGCTTTTTCCCTCAGGTGCTGGTGATTGGGTGTGGTAACTCAGAGCTAAGCGAACAGCTGTATGATGTGGGCTATCAGGATATAGTGAACATTGACATCAGTGAGGTGGTCATCAAGCAGATGAAGGAACGCAATGCCAGCCGCCGGCCCCAGATGAGCTTCTTGAAGATGGACATGACCCAGATGGAGTTTGCCGACGCTTCATTCCAGGTGGTGTTGGACAAGGGCACCCTGGACGCTGTGCTGACAGATGAGGAGGAGAAGACCCTGCAACAAGTGGACAGGATGCTGGCTGAGGTTGGCCGTGTCCTGCAGGTGGGCGGTCGCTACCTCTGCATCTCCCTGGCTCAGGCTCACGTCCTGAAGAAAGCAGTGGGTCACTTCTCTCGGGAGGGGTGGATGGTGAGGGTGCACCAGGTGGCCAGCAGCCAGGACCAGGTGTTGGAAGCAGAGCCTCGGTTCTCCTTGCCTGTGTTTGCCTTCATCATGACCAAGTTCAGGCCGGGCCCTGGCTCTGCCCTTCAGATCTTTGAGCTCTGTGCTCAGGAGCAGGGCAAGCCTGTGCGGCTGGAGAGTGCCGAGCGGCTGGCCGAGGCGGTGCGGGAGCGGCAGCAGTATGCCTGGCTGTGCGGCCAGCTGTACCGCAAGGCCGGGCTGGGGAGTGTCTCTCTGGACTTGTGCGATGGGGACACAGGGGAGCCACGCTACACCCTCCACGTGGTGGACAGCCCCGCTGTGAAACCATCGCGGGACAATCATTTTGCCATTTTCATCAGTGAGTTGGGATTGCGCCCTCTCTTCCCTGGAGGGGCTGGCTCTGAGGGGCTGGGGCTTTGGTGGTGGGTATGGCTTGGCTGGTTTTATCTTGCCGGGGGTGGCACTTTAAGAAGTGAGACCAGCCAGGGCGTGAGGGAGGGGGCACAGCAGCTATCCGGCTACCTGCTTAGATTTGGGGCTTATTTCTTCACATCTCCCTTTGGAAAGGCCTGATGACGTGTGAGAATGGATTTGGTAGGGAGGACAGAGAGTGACACAGATAAGTATAGGTACGTCTCATATTGTAGAGATAGGAGTTACTTTGTCACATGGAGTCATGGGAGTGACCGAGTCCCAGCTCTGGAGCCTGTGAGCTGCGTGACCTGGGGACGTTTCTGTGCTTCTCTGTTGAATATAGGGAGAGTAGTAGCTAAAGAAGTGACTGTTTGGGTTTCAGTTCTGGCTCGGTCACTTCCTGGTGGTATGACTTTGGACATTCCTTTCTATGCCTCAGTTTCCTCATCTCTAAAGTAAGATCAACTGTGTTGTGTAGTTTTGAGAAGTGTAAACTCTCTCAGAATGGTGCCTTACACATGGTAAGTGCTTTATAAACATCAGTGTCATTATTGAAGGGTGTTAAGTGATATCAGATTGGCTCAGTAATGATCAGAAGAGAGAATGAGGAAATGCCTTCAGAAGTAGGAAATTGTGGACAAAATGCAAGATTTTGAAGTCATCATGCTGGTAATTTGCTGACAACTGAGCCATTTTCCCAAGTATTCCATAATTCTACCTGTCCACCAATGAAAACAAATAATAGTACAGCGGATACAGCCATGGAGGGTCGGGCTGGACTGCCTGGGTTTGAATCCCAGCTTCCCCATTTAGTAGCTGTGTGAACTTGTGCAAATAGCTTAACTTCTGTGTCTCAATTTCCTTGGAGTCGTAATATTACTAGGAGTAATAATACTACCTGTATCTTAGACTGTTGTGAGTAATGAATTAGTTTCTGTTTGTAAATTTCTTGAAATAATGTCTGGCAGGTAACAAGCGTTAGTATCATTGCTATTTTGTTTTTGTTTTTTTTTTTGCACTAGGTACCTGCCTCTCTCCCCTTATATACATGTATTGTGGGACCTACCATGTGTCTGATGGCTTCTTTGCTCTGGGCATTGTGCACTAGGGAATTGATAGCCCTCACTGGGTCACAGTTGGAAGGGTTGCTTGTCCTGTGCAGGGCCTGACTCTCTGTCCTGTAGTTCCTATTGGCTGGGGCTTGAACAAGTCTTCCCGGGACTTCGTGTCACCAGGTGCCTCTTTCCAGTCCCCCAGGGTCGCGAGACCGAGTGGCTCTTTGGCATGGAGGAGGGTCGGAAGCAGCTGGCAGCCAGCGCAGGCTTCAGGAGGCTGATCACCGTGGCCCTTCACCGAGGTCAGCAGTACGAAG